TCCGCCCTTCCAGCTCCGCCTACTCACTCTCCTTTGGCCCATGCTCCCACTCTCCATCCCCTTGACCTACCCCTCATAGACCCAGCTCCCTACCCCTTACCCCTCACGCACCCATGCCAGTCATGGACCCATGGCTCCTGGCCCCATGGCTCCCCATTCATTATGGTCCCATTCTTCATCCCTCGACCTGCATGGCTGCCAAATGCTGGTCCGAAAAATGGCCCCCAACCCCCCCCATCCCGCACGCACCCTGCCCCGCCGCCCACGCTTGTCATGGACCCATGGCTCCTGACCCCATGGCTCCACCCCCACCCCCAACCCCCACCCCCACCGCCCCCACCCCCACCCGCCACGCACCCCGCCCTTCACTGGACCCATGGCTCCTGGCCCCATTGGCTCATGGTCCACGGCCCATGGATGTGGCTTCTCAGCTGACAATTTAAAGGTCCCAGTGTATTGCCGGGCCCTCCGCCCGCTCCGCCCGCTCCGCCCGCTCCGCCCTCCGCCCTTCCAGCTCCGCCTACTCACTCTCCTTTGGCCCATGCTCCCACTCTCCAATCCCCTGACCCCTCATAGACCCAGCTCCCTACCCCTTACCCCTCACGCACCCTGCCCCGCCGCCCATGCCCCTCATGGACCCATGCTCCTGGCCCCATGGCTCCCCTCCGCCCCTACCCCCACCACCCACGCACCCGCTCCCCGCCCATCCACCCTTCCCGCTCCGCATACATTCCCCTTGCCCAAGCCCCCCACGCACCCCGCCATGCTTTTCATGGACCCACGGCTACTGGTCCCATTCTTCATCCCTTGAGCTGCTCCACCCCCACCCGCAACCCCCACCCCCACCCCGCACGCACCCTGCCCCGCCACCCGTGCTTGTCATGCACCCCTTGCTCCTGGCGTCATGGCTCCACCCCCACCCCCCCAATCCCCACCCCCACACACCCCACCCTTTCCACACTTCCAACCCCCACCCCCCACGCACCTCGCCCCCCCACTGGACCCATGGCTCCTGGCCCCATTGGCTCCTGGTCCCATTCTTCATCCCTCGACCTGCATGGCTGCCAATGCTGGTCCAAATGGCCCCTGCTCCACCCCAACCCCCAACCCCCACCCCCACCCACCCACACTTCCAACCCCCACCCCCCCCCCACTGAAAACCCATGGATCCGGCGCCCATTGGCTCATGGCCACGGCCCCTGGATGTGTGCTTCATCAGCTGACTTAAAGGGTGCCAGTGCCCCGCTTCCTCCTCCATCCCTTGACCTACCCCTCATTGACCCAGCTCCCTACCCCTTACCCCGCACCACCCATGCCCTCAGGGACCCATGGCTCCATTCATTATGTTCCACGGCCCAAGCAGGTGGCGTCTCCGCCCCTAACCCACCCCCCACCACCTCTACACCTTCTTCCCGTACTCCGCATACGCCCTCCTTGCCCAGCCCCCCACGCAACGCCCGCCATGCTTCTCCATGGCTGCCAATGCTGGTCCGAAAAATGGCCCCTCACCCCCAACCCCCCCCACCCCGCACGCACCCTGCCCCGCCGCCCATGCTTGTCATGGACCCATGGCTCCTGGCCCAATGGCCCCCACCCCCAACCCCCACCCCCACCCCCACCACCCCCACCCCCACCCCCCACGCACCCCGCCCCCCACTGGACCCATGGCTCCTGGCCCCATTGGCTCATGGTCCTGACTTTAAAGGGATGCCCGCCCCCTCCGCCCGCTGCCCGCTCCGCCCTCCGCCCTTCCAGCTCCACCTACTCCCCCCTTGGCCCATGCGCCCACTCTCCATCCCCTCGACCTCCCCCGCTTGACCCGCTTGCTCTACCCCCACCACCCACACACCACCGTTCCCCGCCCATCCGCCCTTCCCGCTCTTTCCTTGCCCAAGCCCCCCACGCACCCCGCCATGCTTCTCATGGACCCATGGCTCCTGGTACCATTCTTTATCCCTCGACCTGCATGGCTGCCAATGCTGGTCCTAGCATACTCCCCCCTTGCCCAAGCCCCCCACGCACCCCGCCATGCTTCTCATGGACCCATGGCTCCTGGTCCCATTCTTCATCCCTCGACCTGCATGGCTGCCAATGCTGGTCAAAAAAATGGCCCCTGCTCCATCCCCACCCCCAACCCCCACCCCCACCCCGCACGCACCCTGCCACCCCCAACCCCCAACCCCCACCCCCACCCCCACGCACCCACACTTCCAACCCCCACCCCCACCCCCCCACGCACCCCTGGACCCATGGCTCCTGGCCCCATTGGCTCATGGTCCACGGCCCATGGATGTGGCTTCTCAGCTGACTGTAAAGGCCCAATTCATGCCCGACCCTCCGCCCGCCCTCCGCCCTTCCAGCTCCGCCTACTCCCCTTTGGCCCATGCTCCCACTCTCCATCCCCTTGACCTACCCCTCATGGACCCAGCTCCCTTAACCCCTCACGGACCCTGCATGCCCCTCATGGACGCATGGCTCCTGGCCCCATGGCTCCCCTCCGCCCCTACCCCCACCACCCACGCACCCGCTCCCCGCCCATCCGCCCTTCCCGCTCCGCATACATTCCCCTTGCCCAAGCCCCCCACGCACCCCGCCATGCTTTTCATGGACCCATGGCTCCTGGTCCCATTCTTCATCCCTTGAGCTGCTCCACCCCCACCCGCAACCCCCACCCCCACCCCGCACGCACCCTGCCCCGCCGCCCGTGCTTGTCATGGGCCCCTTGCTCCTGGCGTCATGGCTCCACCCCCACCCCCAACCCCCACCCCCACACACCCCACCCTTTCCACACTTCCAACCCCCACCCCCACCCCCCACGCACCCCGCCCCCCCACTGGACCCATGGCTCCTGGCCCCATTGGCTCTGGTCCCAGTCTTCAGCCCTCGACCTGCATGGCTGCCAATGCTGGTCCACATGGCCCTGCTCCACCCCAACCCCCAACCCCCACCCCCACACCGTCCCTGCCACCCCCAACCCCCAACCCCCACCCCCACCCACACCCACCCACACTTCCAACCCCCACCCCGCCCCCCACTGAACCCATGGCTCCTGGCCCCATTGACCCATGCATGTGGCTTCTCAGCTGACTTTAAAGGGCCCAGCTCCGCCCGCTCCGCCCTCCGCCCTTCCAGCTCCGCCTACTCCCCTCTGGCCCATGCTCCCACTCTCCATCCCCGTGACCTACCCCTCATGGACCCAGCTCCCTTCCCCTTACCCCTCACGCAGCCATGGTTTTCATGGACCCATGGCTCCTGGCCGCATGGCTCCCCATTCATTATGGTCCCTACCCCCACCACCTCTACCCTTCCCGCTCCGCATACTCCCTCCCTTGCCCAAGCCCCCCACGCACCCCGCCATGCTTCTTATGGATTCATGGCTCCTCGTCTTCATCCCTCCGCCTGATGGCTGCCAATGCTGTTCCGATGGCCCCTCACCCCCAACCCCCCCCACCCCGCACACACCCTGCCCAGCCGCCCACGCTTGTCATGGACCCATGGCTTCTGGCCCCATGGCTCCACCCCCACCCCCAACCCCCACCCACCGCCCCCACCCCCACACCCCCCACGCACCCCGCCCCCCATCCTGGCCCCATTGGCTCATGGTCCACGGCCCATGGATGTGGATTCTAGGGCCGCAGTGCATGCCCACCGCCCCGCTCCGCCCGCTCCGCCCCCCGCCCTTCCAGCTCCGCCTACTCCCCTTGACCCATGCTCCCACTCTCCATCCCCTTGACCTACCCCTCATGGACCCAGCTCCCTACCCCTTACCCCTCACGCTCCTGGCCCCATTGGCTCATGGTTCTAAAGGGTTCATGGATGTGCCTTCTCATCTCACTTTAAATTTTCAGTCCATGTCCGGGCCCTCCGCCCGCGCTCCGCCCTCCGCCCTTCCAGCTCCACTCTCCATCCCCTTGACCTACTCTTCATGGACCCAGCTCCCTACCCCTTACCCCTCACGCACCCTGCCCCGCCCATGGACCCATGGCTCCTGGCCCCATGGCTCCCCTCCGCCCCTACCCCCACCACCCACGCCCATCCGCCCCATTGGGTTGTGGTCCCATTCTTCATCCCTCCACCTGCATGGCTGCCAATGCTGGTCCGATCTGCCACCCCCAACCCCCAACCCCCACCCCCACCCACCCACACTTCCAACCCCCACCCCCACGCTCCTGCCCCACACACCCCGCCATGCTTGTCATGGCTGCCGGCCCACCGCCCCACCCCCACCCCCCACGCACCCCGCCCCCCACTGGACCCATGGGTTGTGGCTCATGGTCCACGGCCCATGGATGTGGCTTCTCAGCTGACTTTAAAGGGCCCCAGTGCATGCCCGCCCCCTCCGCCCGCTGCCCGCTCCGCCCTCCGCCCTTCCAGCTCCGCCTACTCCCCCCTTGGCCCATGCTCCCACTCTCCATCCCCTCGACCTCCCCCGCTTGGCCCGCTTGCGGAGCCCACAGTGCCTTGGCCCCCCTTGGAGGGGGTCGGCGGCACTGGCGGTAGCCATTAAATCGGGCAGCGCGAGGTCCCCACGGACCTTTTAGCCCGGGTCGTCCCGGGAATAGCCTTGCTGGCCTCTGGCCTTCTGCGAAGCAGAATTAGGCCGGACGCCAGTGCCGCCGACCCCCGCGTGCCGCCGGTGAACGGTTTTTTTTTCGTGGTTTTTTGCGTCGCCACGGAGGCCCCCAGAGGGCGCGCATCATGAGCATCAGCGGGTCCAGCCCGGGACCCCCAGGCGCGCATCAGGAGCATCAGCGGCTCCCGAGGCGGGACCCCGGGGGCGCATCAGGAGCATGATGCCCCCCTAAGGGCGGGCATAAGCGACGTGTCTCAGCCCGGTGCTAGGAAAAAGGGAGTTTAGGGGCCTTATAAAGTGCTTAGAAACTTTAAGGGAGTCTAGGAGCCTTCAAAATGCTTAGAAACTGCTCGCCCCGCGCTTCTGCCTGTGCTGCCCGCCCATGGGCGCAGCCCCTTAAAATAAGATGCCGCTAAGCCCTGGCGCGCTACCGCAGCGCGTGTCGCGCAAAGCCCCCGCCACGGCCGTTGTGGCAAGGCGAGGGAGTTCGTTTGGGCTGGAAATCCAAGGTCGTGGGCGGCAACGGCCGACGCGGCGCCGGAGGCCTGCGCTCGGGATCAGTCAAGGCGGCCCACGTAGTGTCATCGCCCGGCGCGAGCGCGGCCGAAGTCAAAACATGACGGGCGCGAGAAACCTCCCCGCGCCGTAAATTAGCGCAAGCGGCATGTCGGCGCCGCGTAGCGGCCTCTGCGTCCGCAGGGTCCTCGGCACCACGGTTCGGCGCCGAAGCTTGGCCTACGCGAGCCTGCTGCAAGAGCTGCAGCCAAGCTCCGCGCGCCCCAGAAGCACTTGTCGGCCCTCACGTCCTTGCTCCGGCAAGCGGGCGAGAAGCATGCGCGGGGGCTAGCAAGAACAATTTCCAAGCCCGAGACGCTGCGGGACTGCAACAGTCGGCTCCGCTCGCTGCTTGGAGGGCCCCAAGCGCCTGCACGAGCGCACCACGCAATGCGCCCCTCAAGAACGGCGGGACTTCCTGGATGGTGGGCACGGGGTGGCGCAGCTCATCAGCAAGGTCAACGCCATCCAGCGCCGCCCACTGCTCCGGCGTGACCGCCTGCGCAGGCGACGTCGCCATCGCGGCCGGCTGCGTGTGTGTGTGGGATCCTTTCCTGACTGCGCGGGCTGTCGTCGTCTGCGCCGATGATGGGGAGGGCCTCGTCGCGAGCACCCTCGCAGGCCCCGACGTGCTGCTCGCCTCGGCCCCTGCCCTGTCTCCCTCCACTCCTGCGTGGCCCGCGCCCGCAGCGCGAACCGCGCCCCCGCACGCGGGAGCACTGCAGGGGCTCCCCAGATGGTGCTGGCGCAGGCGGCCACCGGCGACCGCGCCGTCGCGACGGAACGATGCCTGCAAATCAAGCGCCAAAGCGTGCGCCGCGGACGCGCATCGCACGCCACCGTAGCTCTCGAGCAGCGCTGCTTGCGTGGCTGCGGGGATGTAACCGTCAGGCCCGGCGCAAAGCGGGAGCGCGCACGGCAGAGGCAAAGGTGCGGTCGGCAACGCTTCGAGAACAACCGCGACGCCTTCGTCCGCGCCTGCGCGGTAGCCGAATCCCGAGTGAGGAACGTCTAGGTCCGCGATGGTGCGGATGAGGCGGGCCAACGCATGCGGGTCTGTCGGCGGCGCGTCACGCAGCGCGGCGACTATTGAAGCCCATTGCTCACCAGCGTCCCGCGCGAGAGCCCGCCATGCCGACTCGGCTGCTGCGGTCAATTGTCCCGGCAGCGTGCAGTAGCGGGATGTACAACCAACAGCAGCGCTCTCTTGGAGCCGTTTGCGGGGGACCTGCCGCCAGCCATGGTGGAGCCGCTGGCGGGGGCTCATTTGTTGGCGTGAAGCCTGGCGTGGCATCGTCCGGGACGCGTGTCAGCGGAAAGCGTGTCGGACAGCGTTTCGACCCCCGACTCTTCCCGCGACGCTTCGAGTGGGCGCGAACGTCACCCGTGTTCTCCAGCGAGTCGGTGCCCTGCGGCTCGCCTCCCGCCAGTCCGCAGCCCCTGAGGGCTTGCAAGGTGCGTGCTCGCTGCGCCTCTAAATCTTGATGATGCGAGGGCCCGGGGTTCTTCGCCTCGCCAATGCGACAAGCGCGGAGCGGCATCGGGTGTGCGGGCTACGGCTCTCTCTCTCTCTCTCTCTCTCTCTCTCTCTCTCTCTCTCTGCCTCCCTCTCTAATATACATATATATATATATATGTATGAATTCCTGACAAGGACCAACAGCAACACCCCCATCGTGTTCAAGGCTTTGTCTCTGCCCCTGCCCGTGTTCTACCAACAACATGCTTCGTGGCGGACATCGGATCTAATTCCAACCCTCCTGGGCTCCGGCTTGTTTGCACCTGGACCCAAACCACGAGCTCAAGCTGCATCATGTTTTGCACGCTTGTCCACATTGAGCAGGCTTCGTGCAAACGTGGTGAAACGCAGATGCACGAATTGTGTCGGAGCCAGACTCTACATTGGCAGACGAAGCTCTGTCGGACGGTGGATACAACATTCTTCGCAGCATGACAGCATCACAGGTCACACTCGGCTGGGACAAGAGTGCCCGCCAGACAAGTCTGCGTTGCCACAAATTTGATTGAGGCATGCAGCCCACCATGAGGCTTGCAAAAGAGGGGTGCAGCGAGGTTGCTTCAGGTTCCCTTAGAGCATGATCAGTGATAAGTGATAAGGGCAAGCGCCGTAATAAATGCGAAGAACCTCTGGAGCAAACTCTTGCAACAAAGCGCCAGGTCTCTGCAATGGCCAGCATGGTGAGGCTGGCGAGGTGTTCGGGCACTGTCTATTGCACCCACCTGGCCTGGACCGTTTTCGAAACTGGAATGGCCCTTCCTACGCACACCTCACGCAGCGGTGACAAGCTTCCCTTGCAAACAGTTTCCAATGCAAGTCAATTCAGCTCGACTGGGAAAATAATCACTTCGCCGCATCGACACGGACACGATAAACAAGCTGGCATTACAACATTCTACTGCTTGCTAAGATGTGATATCTCTGATCGAAGAGCGAACTCACTGAAGTTCTGCACGGTTCTTCAAACGGTGTCCATCCGGAATGGTTTTAATGTACAGAAACAGAGCTGTTGAAAAGTGCGAAGAAAGCGCGGCGGCAACTTCGTGAATCAGCGGCTGGCTTTGCAGAAGGTGCTGCCGGCGTCGGCAGCAGCGTGGTTGCAGTTGATAACCTGGAGCATGCAGACCATTCTCGCTTACCAGCTGCACATGTCACTGGTTCTTTCTACGACTTCTGCAGCTTAACTAGAGTTGACCTCGGCGTGACTGCACTGGCATCTGCACAGCAAGGCGCATTGGTGTAGTCAACCACTGTAAACGTCTTGCCAGTTTCAACAGAGGTGTCGCCATAGAGCTTGACCGTTCCAGTCCCACTCTGAAATTGACCCGTACCTGCAGCAGCAGCATGCACTTGCAGGCACTGTGGGCTGCCTTGCGCTGTACCGACTCAGAGTCGTCAATCACTTGCGATGCCTGTGTTGGCCATTATGAAGTTTTTGGCAGCTGCGACGCCCACATCGCCATTGAGCGTGATCTGACCCCCGGCGGTGGCGAACCTCCCCGCTTGCATGTTGGTGCTGGTAGTCTAGCAGATACTTGCTACAAAGCCTTGCCATTGAAACATATGGGAACTAGAGTCTATCTGCTTCTGCCCACCGCAATGCGAGCTCGAGACATTTAACACCCCGATAGTTCCGAGTGACCCTAACTCTGCTCGAAGAAGAGGCAGAGACGTGAACAGCGGGGGTTTAGGGCGTAGGATAAAAGCGGGTTGGTTGGGGACAGTATCATGGATGCTGCAAGCTGTCTTGTCCAGGTCGCGTTTTTAAAGTCCCATCTTGGTCGTTGTTGAAGGTCACGTCGCCGTATACCTTGAAAGAATGACAAGCTAGGAGTTACCAGCAAGACTTTCTTCACACCTTCATCTCCCGCTCCCATAGCTCAATCACGGAGCTTCAGATGTTGTTGCAGCTTCATGAATGCAAACCTGATGGGAGCCACGAACCCGAACGCAGATAGATTGCGTACACGGCATCCAAGTGGATGCCGTGCACGACACCAGATCCGAACATACGCTCTCTCTCTCTCTCTCTCTTTCTCTCTCTTTTTCTTCTTATTCTTCTTCTTCTTCTTGTTCTTCTTCTTCTTCTTCTTCTTCTTCTTCTTCTTCTTCTTCTTCTTCTTCTTCTTCTTCTTCTTCTTCTTCTTCTTCTTCTTCTTCTTCTTCTTCTTCTTCTTCTTCTTCTTCTTCTTCTTCTTCTTCTTTCTTCTTCTTCTTCTTCTTCTTCTTCTTCTTCTTCTTCTTCTTCTTCTTCTTCTTCTTCTTCTTCTTCTTCTTCTTCTTCTTCTTCTTCTTCTTCTTCTTCTTCTTCTTCTTCTTCTTCTTCTTCTTCTTCTTCTTCTTCTTCTTCTTCTTCTTCTTCTTCTTCTTCTTCTTCTTCTTCTTCTTCTTCTTCTTCTTCTTCTTCTTCTTCTTCTTCTTCTTCTGCTGGGCTTCGGGACCCGAAGGCCCCCGCGCGCGGGCGCGCCCGAATCCGGTCTCAAGTGAAACTCTCGGACGTGTGAAGGTAGTTTCTTTCCCCTCTCTCTCTCTCTCTCGCTCTCGCTCTCGCTCTCGCTCTCGCTTTCGCTCGGGCTTCTCTCTTTCTTTCTGTCTTTCTTTTTGTTGTCTTTCTTTCTTTCTTGCTTTCCTTCCTTTTTTTGGGGCATGGGGCGAAAACCCCCGGGCGGATGCGCGCCCCGATCCTGCGTCCGGTCGGTTCTACCACTCACGTTCTTCTTATTATGCTTCTTCTTCTTCTCCTTCTCCTTCTCCTTCTCCTTCTCCTTCTCCTTCTCCTTCTCCTTCTCCTTCTCCTTCTCCTTCTCCTTCTCCTTCTCCTTCTCCTCCTCCTCCTCCTCCTCCTCCTCCTTCTGCTTCTCCTTCTGCGAGGCAAGGACCCCCCGTGCCGGAACGGGGCGCCCGAGTCACGTTCGGCGTCGGTGTGACATGTAAAAGTCGGGGAATCTCACGGAAACCACAACAAAATGAGGGGAGACTCCCCTTTGGTAAGTTAAAACAAAAGGCGTCTTAGTTTCCCCACTCGAGGTCGGGTGGAAAAAACGTGCACTCTCTATCTCATGTTTCACGGAGGCGCCCCTAGTTACTTCCAGCCCGCCTTTGGTTCGCCCTATATCAGGCTCCTTGTAAAATTTGCCTCCCCCAGAGCTCGCTGGATTTGGCGACTCGTGAGTGTTCTCTCTCTCTCTCTCTCTCTCCCTCTCTCTCGCTCTCTCTCCCGCTCTTCTTCCTCTCGTTGTCTTTCTCATCCGACCTCTCTTCCCACATTCTCTCTCTCCTTCCTTTTTATCTTTCTGAGTACTGTAGCTTTCATTCTCTCTGGCCATCCACAGTTTGTTGACCCCCTTTCGAGGCTCCCCCCTCCCCCCACTGCCCAGCATTCCCACCATTACCCACCCACCATTAAGGACCATTACCCCCCAATTTTCATCCCCGTGACAGTTGCACTTCGTTTGCTTCCAGGCCCGGAGCTTCGTAAGCATCCGAGAGGCCGTTTGCTTGATTTGTACTACAGCTACAAAAAACGAGCTTCCAGCACAAATTTGTACTATAAACAAACAACGAGTTCAAGCCCAGAGCTCCAAGAAAGAGGCCTTGTCGTACTGCAAAGAAACCGTTTCCTGATTCAGATCTTCGGAGGCCTCCGAGAGGCTTTCTCGAAAAGTTTGCATTACAAAGAACAAATTTCCAAGCGCAGATTTTTCGGGAGAGGTCCGAAAGGCGGAAGGAGCGAATTTCCAGGCCCAGAGCTTCGAGAGGTGTTTTCGCACACTAAATTGTGTGACAAAGAACGAGTTTCCAGGAAGCGCCCGAGAGACGTTTCCGCGTACTACCGTACTACAATAACCGAGTTTCTACCCCCACACAGCTCCAGAAGGCCTCCGAGAAGTGTTTTCGCGTACTCAATTTTTGTGCTACAAGCCTCCGAGAGGCGTTTCTGCGTAAAGACAGCACCATGTCCCACCAATGCCTACATGATCCACCACTACCCCTTCTTCACCATTCCCCACCATACACGCCATCACCCACCATTAAGCACCATTACCCACCATTCTATTCATTCCACACCACCATTCCACATTTGAGAGAGCGCGCATAGCGGCGCGCGTTTGAAACGAATCGCTCAATCACTCAGCCACTCAGACGCTCAGACACTTAGACACTCACAAGGGTCTGCGTGACAGAGTGACGGGTCCCAAGACTTTGAGTGACTCAGTGACTGGGCCCAGCTCGACAGTGGAAGTCTAAGTGTCTGAGCGACGCTCTGAGCGGCTGAGTGCCTGAACAACTGGGGCTTATCGACCGCTGGGCTGGGCGCGCTGTCTCAATCGACCCAACATACCCCAACCAAGCAATTGAGGAGGGCGGGCATTGCGGCCCGTATTTGAAACCAGTCGCTCAGTCACTCTTAAACCAGACCCATTACCAATCATTACCCACCATTACCCACCACTACCCACCATTACCCACTATTGCCCGCTATTGCCTACCATTTCCACCGTTGCCCACCATTCTCACCTTTACAGCATTCTCACCAGTAGCCTTACCCACTACCCACCATTGCCCACCATCACCCACCATTGCCCACCATTGCCCACCATTACTCGCTACTCACCATTTCCCACCATTTCCCACACCCCTCCCTTACCCACCCTGGCCACCACCACACAACATTCCCCACCTTACCCACCACGCTCACCAACACCCACCATTCCCACCATTACCCGCCATTCCCACCATTACTTCACATGTATCCACCAATACTCACCAAGACCCACCATTGCCCAGCATTACCCTCTTTTTCATTACCCACCACTACCCACCATCACCCACCTCATATCTCCAGGAAGTCTCTGGGCTTGGGCACTCCAGGGACTCTGGGGTTGGGCACTCCAGAGAGTCTCTAGGAGTAGACCGGGCGAAGAGAAGAGTCGAGTTCAAAATCTAACAACCCCACACCGAAGGTGGGGAATGATGACAGTCACGCGGATGGCGCACACCAGGTGCCTCATCCTCGTGACTGCCGCTCTATTTTTAGCAACCGTGCAGTGGGCGTGCAAAAGTGGGGCCGCAAAGTGCTTTCTGCCACCTGCCCCGCTTGCCCCACTTGCTCTGGTCCTTGGGTGGAAAACGACATTGCCCCACTTGCCCCACTTGCCCCTGTGTGGGCCGCTAAGCGATTTCTGCCACTTGCCCCGCTTGCCCCACTTGCCCCACTTGGGTCACTTGGGCCACTTGCCATTTATAAGGGACGTGGGAAGTGGGGCAAGTGGGGCAAGTAGGGCAAGTGGGACAAGGTGCAAACTCCCCCCCCTCCCTAACCCCCGCATCTATGGCTCCCCTTGCGGCCCAGACACGAGTCTGCCTCAAAGAGAGCTCGGATTGAGGCAGACTTGTGCTTGGGGCGAAGCGGCAAAAAACACATGGTGCAGCTCTGGCTGCAGCCACAATCTGCATCAAAGACAAGATTTAGGCAGACTTGGCTGGGCCATAAGGAGGGTTTGGGGATGCCACTTGCATTGCCCCACTTGCCCACTTGCCCACTTGCCCCGCTTGCCCCCACTTGCCCCACTTGCCCCAGGGCAAATGGGGCAATGGCAATTAGTGGTGGCCGTGGGTGCCGCAATGCAACCGTGCGTCAAACATGCTTTCAAAATGTGGACTCCCGCAAGTACATCTCGGGCATTGTCAAACCGTGAACCAAAGTGAACACTTTCGAACGCTTTCGAAAGCTTTCCAACGCTTTCGAACACTTTGCGAACACAAAACGCACGCCCGCCAAAACCTCCCCAACCCCAGACCCCAACTCTTTCAACAGGAACCCCAACTGCTGCGCATTCGGCAAGAAAAGTTAAATGCAGGCTGGGTGTCTGTAAGGGAACTCGAAGCCCCGTTGACGGCGGCTGGCAGGAGCAGACCGCGTCACTTTGAGGGAATGATGGCTAGCCCAACTACGGGTTTTGAGCTGTGGTTCCCACATGACAGCTGCACATTTTTCGGTTTCCGCTAGCAGGGGTCACAGTTTCAGATACAGGATGGCACCCCCTGATGTTCAAGCAAGTGCTAAGCAAGCAGAACGGGCAGCCGAAAAGTTTACGCTCTGGGCTGTGACTGCTCAAAGTCCGGGGGGGGGGGGATGCACCGTCTATGAGCATGTTCTCATGAGGCATGGGGTTCCTGAAGAGTGCTGCAGGTCGACCCCAAGAACCGCAATTGCAAGCACTCCCCTTGACACTCTGCAAGTCATGCTTGACAGCTTCCTGCCAAGAAGCGTTTGGAACAAGCAGACACGGGATCCGGTTTCCTTCCCTGACATCCCCCCCCCCCCCCCCCCCCCCCCCCCCCCCCCCCCCCCCCCCCCCCCCCCCTATGGGACCCCCCCCCCATCGCTTGCTTGGAGGAGATGCAAACCGGTGCCGCGGGGGGTCCTGCCTGTCGGCGGCTCCTTTTGCGACCCCCCCCTCCCCTTTTTTTGAGGCCTTTCCCAAAAACCCTCTTTCCTCCTTTCCTGTCCGTGGGCCGGCCCGGCTGCCGAGGCGGCGCGCGCAAGCGTTTACAATTACTTCTAAATTTACTCATGTTATGCCTCTGCTTTTACCCATACTCATGCTTGCCGCTTGCACCGCTCCAAAGACGAGTTATCAAGAAAGAACACGGCAGTGCCATATCCTGCGATCCCTATATGCTTCAACTTCCAAGATCAAGAAATAAGATGTCACTAGTGTACTCGGGGACTCGATGGCCGACCTTCATATTTTGCATAGCTTCTTCAGCATGGGTTTCGAGATCACGTTGGGTGTTCGGCTTAACCACAATGTGTTGCGAGCTTCCCCAGAATTGGCCGCCCTTTGGCCTTCGTGCCAACGTCCATAATGAACATCTACGCAACGCAGAAAAAACAAATATGTGTGTGTCTATATACATATGTATATATGTATATATATCCGCCGACCCCAGCGGCAGCGGGGCGGCGTCAGTGAAGACCCATAGTGTTTCCTTCACTTCTTACTCCATCGTGTCCTCTTCACCCTTACCGTCTCCCCTCAGCCTCAAGCCCGATCCCCCCCACTCCTCTTAATTTCCCCAATCCCACCCCCCCCCCCAACCCCCCACCCTCTACCCCCCCCCTACCCCCAACCCCCTACCCGCCCCCTGCCCTACTCTAATTTCTCCCAGCCACCCCCCCCAACCCCTTACCCCCTACCCCTTACCCCCTACCCCCTTACCCCCTACCCCACACCCCCCCAACCCCCCCCCCACCCGGCACACGTCGACGACGGCGAAGTTGAGTCGGAGGAGGGGCAGGGCTTTGGATCGGGGTTTCGGCTTGAAGGTACAGTGCATGAGAGTTTAGAGCTTAGGGTCAAAGTAACTATGGTTTTCAGCTGCCCTGTGTGGGGGTCGGCGGCACATTAAATCGGGCAACGCCCCTTTGTGTGCCGCCGACATCCGGCTCCAAATTCGGCTTCCGAAGGTCTTCATGTTTTAGTCCCCACCGAAATTTGGCTCCTTGGGGTCCCAAAAACGACCCGGAGAGCATCATTGACTCTATTTTTGACTTTTGCCGAAGACGCGTTGTTGGGGGGCATCGGCCACGTGAGCATCAGCAGGTTGGGTCTCGGGTTTCGGATGCGGCTGCGAGCTTGGAAAACGCAGAAAACGCTGGTTTTCGTGCTGCTACGGACATTTCCGTTTTGAGGCCGGCATATGCCCCATAAGCCACGCATGCCTGGAGGCCGGAGCCGCTAATGCTCATGATGCGCGGCAGGGCGGGGCCAGGCGTGCGCATCATCGAGGTTTCGTTTCTCCTTGGGGATCCGTCGCGGGAGCATCGGCAGCATCAGTGGCTCGCGAGGGGGGAGCGGGGTTTTGCTTTGGGAGCTGCCATGCCTCTGCTGCTGCTCCTGGGTACTCCTGGGGGCGTTGCCCGCCCCTGGGCGCAGCCCCTTAGAATATCTATTCCATGATATAATATAATTGAATAAATATACTATAATGTAATATTATGTTATATTGTATTATATTATATGATATCATATAATATAATATAATGTAATATCATATAATATCACATCATATAATATAACATAATATAATATAATATAATACAATATAACATATACTAAACGCTACGTGGAATCATGCGGACCGCAAAACGAGTTCTCAAGTCCACTGAGACCGCGACTGGAACCTACGGTGGTGGCCCCGAACCTTGGAGCAACGTGCAGTCAATGAGTCAATGTGCAGTCCTCTTCCGAGCAATCCGCACTGAGCAAGGCACAGCTGAACGACGCCACCATTTCCAGCGCTACCCACGGAGAAAGGCTGGCTGTCTGCCTGGCCGCTGAAGAGACTGAGCATTGAAGCTAGGCCTTGGAATATTGAAAGTGTCTAGGTTTGGTTAAGCCTTGCAGCAGCAAAAAGAGCCAGGCGGGCAATCTGCACTGGGCCATTGAAGGTCACTTGGTCAGTGCCACCAGTAGAGAACGTGCTTCCTCCTGCCCTGGGCGGGATCTTGGCTCCAAGGGTTTAGAGCCGAAAGCGCTCAGCTCTGCATCTCCGAAACCCTTTCCAGACCAGAGACCAAAACCCCGAAACCTCGAAATCCCGCATCCACAAAGCCCCTGAGCCAAACCCTGCAGCCCGTTTTCCCAGACTGCCTTCAACCGTAGCGGCCCTCACGCACTAAACCCGCCCACGGCACACTTGGGTGTTGCCATTGAAAGTAACAGATCCGGTTCCCGTCTGGAAGCTGCCAGATCCGGTTGCCTCGAATGATGAGGGTTACGCCTACGGCTTCAAAGTTAAGATGAGTGAAGGGCTTGTGCGAAAGGGCCCAGAAAGGTTCGGTATGAACTCAGCAGATTCAGTCCAAAAAACACGACAACAAGCCCGACCCACCACATATACATTTTCGCAAGCAGCCGTCATGTGCAGGTTCTTGTTCGAGGCGACGGTCACGTCACCGTTCCTTACATGCACATGCCAATTCTGCATCGCGTGTGGGACGCAACCGGAGCCAGCCACCTTTGTGGCAGCAACCAACCGAAACTGAACCAATGCAGCACAGGCCTACAAGGGTTCGGGATGTTGAAACAAAGACCTATCCAGACCGAGCACACGTCGACACTGCGGAAAGGGCGTCTGCCTCTGAGCTCATGCTGTTTACAGCTGTTCCTGCACATTCCGACGACAATGCTTTCCAAATGAAGAAACATGCCCTTCTTGACACGTGCCATGTGATTTGTGAAGTGCCCGCCGCTCATTTCATGCTGTTCATTTCAGCAACGACCAGGTTTATAAGATTGGTCCCGGCTATTAAGGGCTCAAAGGGCTTGAGAGGGTCTAGGCCAAGGTCCCGCCATCATGGCCCTTGGATTTGGGCCTTTGCCTCTGCAAAGGGTCCCGAATCCCCAATATGCTGTGCAGGGTTTAGATGTGTTAGGGCCGTTTAGGGTTCACAGCTCCAGGTCTTTGAAGACAAGTGATGCTCCAACCCGGTTTCTTCCCTCGTAAAAATGGTGTGGGCCATGGCCCCCCGAAATTCACCCACGAAAGCCCCACTTTCTTGACGCAAGAACTCGAGTGCGACAAGCATTTCACCGAGTGGCAGGTTGATGGCTCCTGTTCCTGAAGTTATGGTCGTCGCGGTTGCGCCCACATCTGCCTCGTGCAAACTTGCTCTCTAGCCCAGCAAAGTGACGTGCCACCGCTGCTGACAGAAACCGCAGTTGTCCCAGTTAACCCAATTTCCAAGATGTTCCACATACCACAAAAGCTGTCAGCGGGGTCTCCCACCTGCACGATGTTTCCGTTGACCGTGCAAGAGGCAGCACCTGGGCTGAATTGTTCAGGCAAGCCGTCAACAGGGCGGCAAACCCGCATGAACTTTGTAAATCTGCTGAAGTCCGTAAATGCGTATATGCTATTTCTGTCGCCTTTTGAGTGTTTTGCCCTTCGCTCCGATTCCATGGAGTGTTCTCACGGTTTGTGCGCTACCTTCACAAGACGCACAGGAGTCCGCAGGAGTCCGCAGGAGTCCGCAGGAGTCCGCAGGAGTCAAGAGGAGTTTGGGCCTTCAACGCAGAAGCGCAGAAGCAGAAGATGAAGAGATGACAGAGTGCGACACCCTGTATTGTATGCATGCCTCCTAAAAAAGACAGTTTCGATTAGCTTGTCACATATACTCCACCTCAAAGGTACCACGCCGTCAAACTGCAAGAGGCTCTGTAGGCAACAGCCATATGAAGCAAAAGACCATCATGCACGCTGACCCAAACCTGAATCAAGCGCTTGCCTCGCAAACCGCTGATGCCCATGCACACTATTGCAAGGCATTTGGGCGGGCCAGTCTTGCTAACGCCACAACCACAGGTGTCCCGACATGCGGAATCTGATTGTGAGCTACCATACGAATCAGTATCGAGATGCCAGCACTATTGCCGATGATCACATCCCCGTAGAGGGTCGTGGTACCGCCTTCAGGAGTGCACTACGCCTGATGCAACAACATGCAGCATCTCTCTTTCATGTCAGGCCTGATCCAGCGGTACCCACTGTGAAAGCAGTCCTGGGTTTCAGCATCAGTATGCGGAGGGTAGAGGCGGGCGCGGTGGGAGCCGTCTGCTGAGCTGACTGTCGCGTGCTACTAATGTGCCGCGCTGCTGCATGGCTATGGCTACATTCCTTCATGTTCCTTCTCAATTCTCCCCAGTGTCCTCTACTTTTGATTGATGCGCCAAAACGACATAAATGACACAACAAGACCGAGTGTCGAGGCATCCACCGTGACGGCCCCCTTGAGGCTCACGGCACCAAGCCCAGAAGTAAAGGTGTTACTGCCGGTGACCTGAGGACAAGCCAAAGCTCCCAGTTGGATTCTAGACAAGACTCTGATAAGGACACGGAGAGTGTGTTTGTGGGCTCAACGGTTGATCAACTCATGCGGGTCGACGGCCATATCGACCGTTGCCAAAATGGCCGCAAAATGCCGCATAGCACCGTATCATCGAACAAGTGCCCACTACAGATCGGGGCTCCTGCTTCCGGGCGGCACAGAACCAGCATACCCAACGAGTCGGAAACGGCCCGGGGCGAGTCTGAAAACAGCTCAGGAAGAAAGCTAGAAAAACCAAAGCGGCGAGTCGGAAAATTATCGAAGAATTTTCACGGGCACAGCTTGGCATCTAAAAGGGAATCGGATGCCCCAAAACCCCCATCTCCAAATGAGCCCTGCGCCCGCTAAGAACCCCACAAGCCCGAAAAAACCACAAACCCTAAAAACCTCAAAAACCCCAAAAACCACACAAAACGCTACAAACCCCACAAACCCGAAACCTTAAAGACCCAAAACGCCAAAAACGCTGAACCCTGAACCCATAACCCGCCTGTTGTCACATTCGGCCTGGTTTTTCTGACTCAGCTTGTTGTTGTTCCGACTCGGACCTCCATATTTCTGTTCTTTTGCTTTTTCCCGTTTCGCGTGTGGGACTCAGCGCGTTTGTTCTGGTACGGCCCGCACTCCCACTACGTCACTACGTGTGATACCGAAACCCAATGGACGTGCTTGGACTTCAGACTGCTCTCGGAAGAGCCAGACGGGTGAACACATCTACTCACAGCAGCCTGGCCATGTGGCCTCACCGGGATCAAGGGCAGAAGGCGTGGCAAAGCTTGTCCATCGCCCCTCACCCCCTACGCCGGGTCCACCCGAGCGCAGCACTCCATGGCCACAGGCCGACGACATTGCCTGCCAACTGCCACACCACACTACACCGGTCCTCCAGAACGCAGCTTTCACAACAGGGGGGCTCTTCATCCGCCGGCACAAGATGGCCCGCGCTCGGTGCCCACGTGCAGCCACGTGAAGGGGTGCGGGCGGTAACCGAAACCATGCAGGGTCGTAACGGAAAATCCTAACGGGCAAACAAAGCGATTGCAACAAAAGCAGCGCAGGCAAGTCACGAAAACCATGTTACAGTCTGGGGCTCATCTCCTGTTTCGGGCGCCTGTTACGGGACACCTGTTCTGTTCCGGGATTCTTTCCACGTTGAAGGCTTGTTGCCGTCAAGCCACAGTCGTAGCCCCATTGAGGTTCACAGCACCAGTGCCAGTAGTGAACTGACCGGCACCTGTAGCAGTCATCGTGAGGTGCCTTGGCGTCCAAGCTCACATGTGTCTGGCGTATCCAGACTTGCTATCGTTACCCCGTGTCACTTCAACACCAGGCAAGTGTCTTCCCTGTGGCAACGGTGACGTGGCCATTGAGGCTGATGGTATCTGAACCGGTGGCAAATGTCGAAGTTGCACCTCAAGAGGTCTCCGAGAGGATGGTCTTGCCAAGCCCACGCCCGTTCTGTACAAACTTCTGCACATTTGAAAATGGCGCTTCCCCAACTTTCAGAGGAGTCCTCATACAAGACTACACTATAGTTGGACATCCTTATACAGGATTGCGCTATATTTGGGGGTCTAGACGTGCCCCATTTTATCTGGAAGGTGGAACGCCGCGTGCGTATTTCTCGAAGCTAAAGACATAGAGAACACGACCGCAGGATTCACACAATACCTTTTGTTGAGGTTGAAGGCATCCCAGGGTTCACGGAAAAATCTCCGTTTTGTTGAGGCTGGGGACACCCCAGGTTTTGCACGACACTTTTTGAGGTTGAGGCCACCCGAAGTTAAAAACCCTGGAGCCCCCAAGGCCCCAAGCAATGCAAGGCTTGATACCCAAGTCATTTGCTGTTTCGAAATTTAAGAAGTGAACAACAACTGGAGCCTCCGAAGAACACAAAACATCTAGAGTTCAAAACTGAAAGCTTTAACAAAACATAACAAAACACTGGGGCCTACAGCTCTTCAAACGAATTAAGAGTTCAGAGTTTGAACTTTTCATACTTCTAGAACACAAGGTCCACAATGAATTCGCAGCTTCACACTGTACAACTTGAAAGCCCTTGGCCCAAGGAACACGAAAACATTAAATCTAAAGATTCTCAAAATTTGCAGGCCCGTAACCTCTAAACAACCCCACATTCTAAAGCCTGAGCCTCACAAACAAGTTAGATCCCTGGTGGCCCAAAGGCACACATACTCTAAAGCTTCAAACCATAACTGTAGGTTTCTGGAGCCCCGAAGGCAATTAACGCTTTGCAGATCACTTAATACGTGTTCTGAAACTTTCATCTCAGGTTCCAAGAACCCGTTTAGAGGCATCTGCCCAAGACAATTTATTGACGAGCTTGTCTCCCAAATAGTCCCCCGCGCAATCTTTCTTCGTAGTTCCCGGGGCACAAGGTCCCAGGCTTTTTGAAAATGTGCAAACTTATTGGCTTCCACATCGGTCCACGAAATTGCAAGGGAGAGGAAGCTTGTGATTCCCACCCAGCACCCCAGGCCCGACTCTAGATTAGCTCCACGAAGTTTTCCTGCGTCAGGTTTCGTTGTCAATGCCTCATCAACCGTACGGTCTACAAACCTACACTAAACAAATCCAAATCTCCTCACATCACTGCAAGCACCATGGGCAACGTGGCCTGGACATAACTCGCCCTTCACGTGCCTGTGACGTCGCTCTGCGCGAAGTTGCCGTTCACTGTCAGGGAGCGTCCGTTTCCAGTCCCTGGGAAACAGTTCCATACGTGATCATACTATATGCACAGTGGTCGAAACAGAGTGCTGAATTTGTGTTTCCTGCAAAGCCTCTCCGAGGCTACGTTCAGTGCTCGAGTGGACAGACTGGTGGTGGGTCATGGCAGCTTCGCATATCGGTCCGGTGCACGAGAACCGTTCATGATCTCATCGTGATCTTTGCGCGTGCCTTCCTTATCTTCCGGTATCTTCCGGTCGCGGGCTGGACAAGCCGAAACGACCCGAAACCGATAAACCTGGTCCCCGGATCTCGCCCTGGGCTTCCCAGCCGGTGTCACCAATGATCACGTTGCCGTAGATCGTGACAGCCCCGCCGGCTCCAGCCGATCCAACGGTCACCGATTGCCTTGGCTAAGGGGGGGTGGTTTGGGGTTTGAGCTTGGGGGGTTGTGGCGTTGGGTCCGGGTTCACATCGGACAGGTCTGTCACCGGGCACAGTGGCCTACGATACACTCTGCGCAAGCGTTGCACCAGATGTCTTTCCGAGCATCGAGTCCGCAATTTGCACCTGGCCATTGAGGTCAACGGTGCCAGAGCCAGTGGCAAAGGTTTTGGCCCCGTTGATGACAGTGTTGCCATAAAGCGTCACCCTGACGGCACTGAGGGCATTTGTCAAGCTGCGCTAGAAAGTGCTTGTGACTTGTGATTCCATCTATGGGGCGGTGCTTGATTCGGCCAACCCCTCACTTGTGACGATACAATCTTCTCACTTGTGACTGTTTGTTTTTCTCACTTGTGACTATAAAATCTTCTCACTTCTGACGTTTTTAAGCTCACTTACGACTATAAATTCTAAAAAACGCGGCTCCCGCTCGAAAGTGGTCAAAAACTCACTTGCGGCTGTTTTTGTTGGGTGGCTCACTTGTGACTATTTTGTAGTCACAAGTGAGTCTTGATTTTGGGGAAATAGTTACAAGTGAGCGGGGGGTGCTGCTCAGCAACATGGGTAAAAAGGACCTGCTCCCCGACAAGACCGGGGTGTGCTGGGGTGGGGGGGGGGGGGGTTGATAATTGCGTGTTCCACCTGCTGCTCAACAACAGCGAGGTGTGGTGGGGTGTGGGGAGGGGGGGCTTGATAATAGCGTGTTCCACCTGCTCCCCAACAAACAACAGCGGGGTGTGGTGGGGTGGGGGGGGGATTGAGCGTGTTCCACGTGCTGCTCAACAACAGGCGGGTGGAAAGGTCGTGCTTCTCGACAACAGTGGGGTGTGGGGTGGGGGGGGGGGGGCTTGAAAATTGCATGTTCCACGTGCTGCTCAAACAACAGGGGTGGAAAGGACGTGCTTCTCTACGACAGCGGGGTGTGGTGGGTAGGGGGGGCTTGATGAGAGTGTTCCGCATCCTCCAGTTGGGGATTTCAAGGTGGCGGGCTAAAGATCATGCGGCATGGGTGCTTTGGGCACAGCGACTCTAAAAGATGAAGGGACTGCTCAGAAAACCTTCGAGAGTGCATGTCTGTCCTAGAGTCAGGCCACAAGCGGCTAGAATCAGGCATCACATATAAGTTAGCAAAGTCATACAACTATACCTAACGGCTGCATGGCTGCAAAACACTGCGAGACAAGTGATGGACGGTTGTCGGACATTTCTGATCATTCACGTCATCGCAGCCGTCCTACCGTATGATTTGATCTAATGATATAGGGCCATATAGGGCTTCCTAGTCACTCTAAGCTCAGGCCAGGACGTGCCAGATGAAGTGGCGAAATTGCCTGCAAACAGGAGACAGCTTGCGGTCTGCCATGACAAGGCATGGGCAGTGAAGGCTCCGGGCAAATCAAAAAACCACTCAATAGGCTGTGCAAGTCTCGACTGTGAGATGCCACGGCTGCAAAACGCTGGGCACTAGGGGCTTCCCCATATGGAGGATGAGTATTTGCCCCTTCCCCTCCTGATAGGCACGTCGCGTCGAATACATTGAAACGCCGAAGAAGATTCCACAAATGATACAAGAGCTTATTATGGGGCCGAGGCAGCCAGGTAAGCCGGTCAGAAGTGGAGCTGCGGAACAGGAGCCACGAAGGCAGAACCCTTGTAGCGCAGGCACCACAAAGCTTCAACGACTGGCTAATCCCGTCCTGTGCTTCCACTGGCATCGAAGGCTCCACTTGACAGGGTCAGTCCGTTGTCAACCTGGGATGGCATCACTTTAGGGTACTACTGGACATCGGCATACGGTAGTGAACACTGGCAGCACGATAACCTGTCAATGTGATTTTAGTTCTGACTCTAGGGAAGAAGGCATTGTGACAACAAAGAGACAAGACTCTCAGGCCACGCGATACTAGTACACTGTAGCATGAATCCGAATGTTCCTTGGAGAGATCTCGGTAGCTCCAAGTGCACGAAGGGGGGGAGTGGGGGTGGCATGGGAATGAGGTACCGGTACTCATTTCTTGGCGTGGGGAGGCACCTACTGGTCACAGCAACATCACTAGATGTGTCCCGGAGATTGGTGGCAGTCAAACCCCAGAGTACCGTTTCGAGTGGGTCCTCCTCCTCAAGCACCTCAAACACTGCTCGGGCGATCCTGAGAAACTTTTTTACCAAGCAGCTGAGAGCGTGGGCAGCGTTGTGCTCGTAAACGAAAGCCTCCATTCCAAAAAACAGAGCGGTTAGGCATTACAGGTGGCCAAAACGAGTCTGGAAAGTTGCCGCTGAGCGGCTTGTTCGTTACAGATCCAACCCCCGATGCAGTGCAGTAGGCCGTCACATGGGTGCCAGGAGGCACCTCTGCAGAAGTCTTGACTGAAAAAGTCTTGAGACTGCCACCAACTCACAGAATGAGAAGTGAAACATCCAAGTCCCGACCTGCCTTGTACGTGGTTGCCGAGCCACTGTTGTCGGTGACACTGACCGTGTACGTGTTGTGTGCATTGATGAAAGTGTACTGCCAGACCTGTGAGTCTGTGAGATGCGGAAGTGACGACAAGCAGCAGTCAAGCAAAGCTAAGCTGTCGCACTACTGCGAAGCCCGAGGACCCCGCACCACTCCGACTGGCGGATCGGATCCACTTCGCGCTGCTACAAGCCTGGTGTCATGAGCGGAATGATCGGACGAATGGAGCTTCCAAGCTTTCAAAGGCCCGGCAATGCAAAATGGCCTGAATGGTCAGTGTAATGTCCTGGGACACCGTGCCAGGAGTGATGAAACAGTCAGGGCCTCAGCGGCTCAGCGGAAGTTCTTCCTGATGGGCTGTTGAGAACAACCCTCTTACGCGACCTGTGACAGCACTGTGATGGATGGGTCTGGGATGGTCTGGGCATATCTGGATGGAATACAGGTGCTGTTTGTGCCCCACCATGTCGAGAGAAACGTGGGAGCTCAACCTTGCATACGGCTGCCTTTACACCCCCTGTACACCTGCCGCACAGTTCATCCTCCGAGACTGAGGCAGATGTTCCCATTGCAGGCTGTTGCGCTGGAGACGTCGTAGGTTTCAGCTGGCACAAAGCTGCTGACATGCTGCACCCTATCAGCACCGGCTTTGAGCTGCTCAATCTGAGCCATGTCCTGATGACCTCATGTCACTCATGTACTTAATTCTACCAAGCCAACGAGATGAAAACATGTCCAGCGAGACTGAGCTGGTTTGTGAGCTGGTAGCAGCCAACACCTTCATATGAGATAAAACCAGCACATCTCAATATCGATCGAGAAGCGTCGCTAGCATGCCTGCCTAAAAAGGATTGCTCTAAGCACTCGAACGCATGAATACAATAAGGGAGTGCGCATTGGTGGTGGGAATTTGCTTGGGCCTGCAGTTGTTCCGACAGTGAAGAAGCCCGCAAGCCGTCGCTTCTCCTTGATCAAGACTTGTTGAGAAACGTTGGGAGGAAATTGCAGCGCGAGTCGGTTTCATGTACCGTGCGTGACAGGCTTGGGTCCCACTTGGGTGCCACTTGGGTGCCTCCTCATCTGCGGTCACTTCGAAAGCTGCCATATGCCTGGGGAAACTGCAGAAGTGCAAGATTCAGGGACTCGAGGTTGATGATAATTAAACTTTCTAGCTTGGTTACGGAGATGGCTCCGGGCTTTTATCAAGTCCCGAAAGAATCTCAGGGACGGGCCCAGGATAAACTTCTTCGACCTTGTGTTTCACGTATCTTCTTTCCTGCCGGTTAATTGCAGATTGCAAAACTGCCTTCTTTGTTGGGGAAGCTATACTAAGCTACCATGATACTGTTACTACAATGGGGTACCATACATCCCAATCACCAAGAAGCCCGCAGTCAACAGACCTGATTGGAAGCACGCGCTGCTTCGATGATATCGTTCAAACCTTGAGAAGACCTGGGCAGCTCGCCATTTGGTCTTTTTGGCATACCAAAACGCACAGGGCTACGGTGAAGCTATCCAGGTCATGCCACTTGGCTAGTAGAATGACAAGCACAACCATCTTGAAAGCGCTGGCGCCCTTACACTAGTCCCTGAGCGCAAGCTTGCAGACGCATACTCACAGCGCCATGTCAAACTCCTGAGCGGATTGAGTTGCCGACCCGGATCGTGCTTCCAGGAACTTCTCACTGCAGGGAGGGAAAGCAGCAGTATCATTTTCGCAGTACATTTACAAAGCTTCAAGCTGTCAAGCATGTTTTGGAGTGGACCTGCCTACCCTGAGATACCAGCAAATTTGGCCTCGACGCACAAAAAGCGCGTCAAATGGCGACCCGCGCAAAATCACATCCGACGCAACACTCCGGACTTCCTCAGCCCTTCATGTAGGCGCTCGACATTCCATAGCTTCCGTTGTCGGAGAGCTGGTTCAGTCGACCGCGTAGATCCTCGCAGGAAAATAGCCTTACATTGGGCCTTTAACAATGCGTCTGGGGTTTAAGGTCTAATGTAGTCGGGATGTGTGGGTAGCAAAACGATGGTGAGCAGCACCCATAGGTTTTCATGTCACTTTTCTACAACTTGGTCTTCGTGCGCATCTCGCTAGTCTAATGTTGCTTTCTTCATATCTTGACACATGACCCATAAGGAGGTTGACGGTTCCAGATTTCTAGGTTGCAAAGTTGGGACAAAGACCAAGGTAAACAATGCTCAACTGAATCATCAGAAGGTCCAAGAAAAAGCTGCTCGGCACACGGTACTAGAAGTACTCGAATGTATTTTGTCGCCTGTACTTCCCCTTGCTGCACCGCCCCCTCTGCCAGCACGGTGCAAGCTCGCAATGACGTGATAAGGGAGAAGCAACTCATGCCCTCATTGTTCCCATGAACTGCCTGAGCCTCTTAAAGAATCAATTGGCAAAAAGCAAGGAATGCCAAGGCAAGGCCTCTGTGAAAGAGACAACGAAACGGCACTTAGTTGGAAACTTTCTGAGGTTGTTGTGGTTGATGTTGCTGCCAGTCTGCTCGAAGTCTAAAGTCTACGTGTTCGACCATGCTTTTGCTATCTAACCGTTTTATTGGCTTAATGCGGAACAAACCCCGATTAAATTTGAAACGCTGCTACGCTGAGAATGTTCAGAAAACGCTTTCCTTTGCTGTTCACCTCCCGGCTCGTCTCATGTTAACCCATGAGCCCCCTCGCATTGCGTTGCCTGACATTGTATCACGCGACATGTAGAGGCATATACCATCGTATGTTCTGCTCCCAAAGGCACCAAAGGCATGATCACTCTGAAAAATCCAAATCTGAGGCTGCTGGACCGGAAGGATGGAGCCATCAGACGCTTCCCGCTTGGTTTGACAAGTTCTGGCCTATCTGTCTAACTCGCTGTGATAAAAAAAAACCATTCGCCGTGGGCAACCGCAGATCGCGGCACCAATGCCTATCCAAAGTATGACTGTCTCCTGCTGTTCCCGGTGCAGATCGTCTATCACGCGGTACCTGCTACGGGTAATTAGCACACATGTTCCCGATGCCGGTTGACAACCACAAGAATCAGACTGCAGTCGCGGGCAATTTCTGGGGTTGGCACATGTACATGATCAAAACTCCCATGGTGATGAGCACAATGCCCACCTGCAAGAACAAAGCAAAATATCGCGGGTCATGTGACTGTGGTTGACTGAATGAACAAGAATTTGTTGAGCACGCAACCATGATCTGGTTCAGCGTAGGCCTACTTCTCGGGACCTGAGAGGTGCAGCGTGCACAATGAGAAGTCAAATGTTTTACTTCAAGCCAGGCTGGGAACCGTGAGTGTTTGCCCATCTGTTTTGACAGCGCGCACCATCTCCCAAAATGCCTCGAACAACACACCGTCACGAGGGATCACAGGAGCAACAAGTTCATACGGCTAGGAAGCTGGCTGTTCAAAATCGCGCAAAGTCTACAAGATCATGCTACAAAGCACTGCTCGTACATAGGTTGGAGTTGTAGATGCCACACCTGCTTAAGCAATTAAGCGGGGGGGAGGGCGGTGATGTTGGGTTCGCATCGGTGCGAGCAGCAGCAGTGAAATAACATGCCATGTCAATTGCCGGCCGAAACGGCTGCAAGCCATGTCCAACATATGTTATGAAGGTGTGGCTTTCCGGTATTGAGCTGATCATTCCATGCAGGCGACGTCTTGCCATCATCGCCACCTAACGGAAACGACAGATCGAACCAGATATCAGTCTGGCCCTGTGCGCTCACTCCGTGGCGCTGTTCGAGCGACCAATTTTGCGAAATCCGCTTGCAAACTCACAAGCCCAAGCCTAAGCTCCGTATCCTGTCAGTGTGATTGTCAAACAACAAGTTCTTGCTTTGCCCAACCCACACCGACCCACAAGAACAAGCCTTCAAAAACCCCGACATTCCCATGCCAACTCACATATGAAGGGGGCCATAAGACGACAAACAGACACAAGCCACATGAAGCCACCGACCCACATGAATGACCCAAAAGGCAGAGCATCGGGACCCCCTGCGCTGCTTGCTCCTGGTGGTGTGCCAACGTCATGTGAGTTGGAACAGCGAGTCTAACATCACGCACTACTGCGAGGCGCATCACAGCGAAAGTGTAGCTGGTAGGACTGCAAAGACCGATGCATGTTAACACCATCTCTGCCAAACATGCAGCACTGACAACAAAGGGTCAAAGGGCGAAGATCCATTTTGGGCCATTACCGCGCACCGTGACTTTCGAAACGGATCACTTGGCAGACTGCTCCTTGCGCCACATGTCATCCAAATCCTTCTCATCAAAGGGGCTGGAATGTTTGTCGCGCTGTCCTCTATGTCCTTTGGGCTCAGATCCTGTTGAGAGATTTTGAGGGCATCGGGATGAAGAGTTCGGAGTTGATACCTCCTCGCCGCGTCAAGCCGCTTCTTGCATACCTTTGATGGGGGAAGGTGGTTAAACCCTGGATGTGCTTGAAACACCAGCATGGCACGGACCAGCCGCATCATCTTCATGCAGCGCTGATCCCGCTTTTCCTTCCCAGAGAAGGTGCGAAAGACCTTTCGACTTCCCGTTTTGCCCGTCATCCTGCCGAAAGCTTTACCCGAATGGTACGCGGCAGGTTTGGCAACAGCTTGACCAGCAAGCGAGCCAGCACTGCCGCCGAACTCTGCCGCCAGAGTCTCACCAGCTGTCAGCATGTCCAGGGTGTCTTCGCGGTAGTGCAGACAGAGCTGCCAGCTGACATGAAGCGCAAACTGAGCCACCTTCACCCAGACCTGGCTTCGGCTCAGAGTTTTTTCCGCCTCCTCCCGATTTTTTTGCCGCCTTCTGGATGTTCTTCACGTCATCCTTGGCCTGGTCTAGCTTCTTGCCCACATCCACGCACTCATCCCGGCGCCCAACGACCAAGTCGCAAACGACCTCGGCTAGGCTCACTGACGTGGTCCCCGCGGCATACGTGGCAGATGTCATAGTGCTTCTTGCAAAAGGTTTGTCGGTGTTCATGCTGGCATATGTAGCATGACCCCTGAGCAAGGATGACACGCACAAATCAAGGCCACCGACGATGCGTGGCGCAAGCATGCGCAAAATCGAGAAGTGTACACTGAGGTTGGGGATGACTTGGGGCGACAGGGTTTTTGGAGGGCCTTGCGCCATGTCGTACGATCCTCTAGATGATTTACCCCAACAGTTTAGGCGAAGCCCAAACGAAGCCCAAACTCACCTGCCCCTAGTCATTATTCGATAGTTGCTTCGAACCCCAGTACTCCTGAACCCAATCAACAGGTTATGAGGCCAATCGTAACTCCCGATTCCCTGGGCATCAACATCCACAGCAACACACAGCAGCGGCTTATTACCTGGCGACAGCTGACACAGGTGCAGATTCCAGCCGAAGCGTTGGATACCTTTCGGCAGAGCATCTCCCAGGATTTAAGTTTTGTTGCAGATATCAATGCTGCGATCGTGGAACTTTCCTCGCAAATACAGTTTCGTACAGAGGTTTTGGCAGACGCCATGGGTTCCGCTGGACAAGCTGTGGGAAATATGCAGAGGAGCAAGAGCGGATACGGGTGGCGATGGAGAAACTTCACGCTATGATCCTGGCACAGCAGACTACAGACACTTGTCCTTGACCTGCAGAAGCACCTTTTGTCGGTTCACACCGAGACCAACATGCTTGGTGCACGTTGCAAAGCAATGGACAGAGACAATGAGCAGCGGAAAGAAAGACAACTTGTGGATGAAGGTAACGCAAGAGAAGATGCAAGCTTTGCGACAGGCTGTGGACAATGGCCCGATGCAAAATGCTGGTGTTCCTTCACAGGTCCCCACTATAAGCTGTCACATGGAGCTGGTCCGGGGCTCCTGTGGATTTGCAGGCGGCTTGGTACAAGAGCCTCCTGGCATGTCGTTGGCAGCAGCGGATGTGCCACTTGGCATACCGCAGTCGGGAAAGAAGGCGTGGCAACGACGAATGTGAGTAAGGTACCGAATGGAAAGTGGAAACTTTTGCTGGATTTCCAATCTGGAAGAACCCTTAAACACCCAGCAGCTGCATTCTCAAAAAACGAATCTGTAATTCGAATGCCACGCTACTTATGAGGCAGCGCAAAATTGAAACACGAAGACACCCAGTCCCCGCAGCTAAGGGCGACGCAGGCAAACAAACCAACCCTAGTGTTGAGGACTGGAAGTACACGTGCAAGGTGTAAAGAGGGCGCCCGACCGCAGACAGGCATAATCAGATTGTGATGGAAGGAGGACCGAGAAGATGGACAGGCTGTCACAAGCCACCATATTTTCCCCCTCCACGTGCCAATAGGCCCAAGCAATGGATGCAGTGTGACAAAAGCCGTGATGCTGGATAGTGGTGCCAGTGTCCTACGGCAAACCAAGATTCCGAGCAGAGCAACGGCCATCGACATTGCATTGGCGGATATCACCAGGATACCTGCCCATCGCACCCATGATTTCAGAGATGGTTGTCCGTGGTCCTGACCAAGGCACAATTATCGGCATCTGCAGGTTGGTAGCTATTGGTTGCCGGTTTACAAGGGACTGAAAGGCAGCAACTTTGTTTGCCAGTTGAGAGTGGACTTAAGAAGGTGACGGAATTGTTTGCCTTATCTGGATTGGTCAATCTTTACCGCTGCGGCTGGCAATGCTGTCACAAAAGCTGGCGTCGAGGCGGATCTGTCGCTGTTGCAAGAGACGACGCAAACCCCATACCAGCGCGCTCTCGCGGATCGTCACAGGCGCAATGTCGGGCCCACTTATCCTCAAAAGCTTTGCTGACATGCTTCAGCTAAGCTGGTTGTTATCTTTGTGGCTCTGAAATCTGTCGCGACATGCAGGCGTTTCCGCTCTGGTTTCGTGCAAATTCCGTTGCGTTTCGATGCTGCCGCGGCTAGGCGAAGTCCTTGTCTTCTCCTGCTTTGCAAAACTTGCTCTGCCGTGTCGGCAGGCTGTTCACCTCGTTATTGATGCTGGAGGTGTCCACTACACCGTCCACGGTGTCAACAGACTGTCACTCACAACAACATTCCAACACTTCCCACACAAGAGAGGGCAAGCCGCGAGCTGAAATTAGCTCTTATGCCCACCACCAATCGACCCTTCGACCTTATTGCTGCTGTTCATCTTCCGCCGGAAGAGATTGAGCTTGCTCTGAAGAACAAATCCATCACAAATCCCGATCAGTCTGTGACCGACACCACAGAAAGGGAAGTCAAGAGCCACTCCACACACCAGCACATCCTACAACGCCAGCAGCACTCGCACTTTTTCCTGGGTCAAACCGACAATAAGCCCAAGGGGCACCACTGCAGCACGGAGACCGCCTCCAGCAGTGCTCCTTTTGCAGCTCACTCCGTCAATTGAAATCCTTGGAGACTGACGGGCGGCTGTTGTAGAACTACATGACCGCATGCAACACCGAACAAACGTTCTTGAAACAACAACTGCTTCGTTGGCCGACAGCCACAACCTTGTGGTGGAAAAGTTCGGGACTGCAGCAGAGCCTGCACACAGTGAAGTTATCACTCGTCTTGCGCAGGACAACCGAGGTTCATGATAAGCTTAGCCTGTAGGTTGGTTCAAGGGAACCGTAGAAAGTTGGAATGCCAGCACATCACTCCAGATCGTTGTTGAAGAGCGGGTACGAAGGGCAGAGTCGTTGGATCTTTAGTTTGCAGAACAGCGATCAAGACCCGGTACAGATCAATGGAGAGTGCGCTGGATGATAGGTCTCCCGGCTTGATCTTTCGATGCCTGTAATTTTTTTTTTGGACTGGCGCCCCTTTACTACATCAGTAGCACAGTAGGCCGGTCTTGTTGGGCTCGACGTAACGGGTGAAACGAAGTCAGCGCGCGCAAACCACCAAGAACACCACGCAACCACCCAAAAAACAAGAAAAAGAAGCAACAAACCAAGCAAAGGCGCCGAACTACTAGGAAACCCCACGCACTCAGTACTCGAAGTCGTCGTTGAAGTCCCGGTGCAATACAGCACTGAGCATGCGGGGAGTCGCAAATTGCGACACTGCCAGATCTTCAAAATCACCATCATGTAGCTACTGGTGCGACGTCATTCGGCTGAACCAAGGTCATCATCGATAGTCAGGCTCCCGCGCTCGTCGTCAAGGACAAATCACGGACCCGCATTGGCAAAGGGATGGTGCAGGTCAGACTCCCCAAAGGAGAGGAAAGACGTGCGTATGCCCCATGGTGGTCAGCCAGTGGGGACTTAACAGAAAGAACAATCAAGGCAAGACCGGCCCAGGGCACTCCATGGTGGTCAGCCAGTGGAGCAGCCCCGAGCGGAAGGTTCACCTCTCACCCTGGCTTGCAGCTGCGCCCACCTAGATAGATGTCTGCGCACAAGCACAGTCTCAGCAGACAGCCAAAGCGGAGGCCACACACGCAAGCCCGAAAGCTCGCCGGGGTTTCGGGGACCGCAATCTGGCAGGCAACGGTCCCTCCAGAGTCCAAGCCAATAAGATACGTCGGCAGGGAGATGTGAGGGCTCACATCACTTTGGCAGCCTGCAAGAGCACTAAGATCTCCGTGGCATACACAGCTTTCGTCCAGGCGATGCCGTCAGGTAGCATCCAGGCGGGCGAAGATCCTGCCTGTCCTGCCACAAGCCAAGCACAGACGACGATGACCCTTTTGAAGGCCAAGTTATTCCACAGGTATTCGATATCTCCAGGCCAAGGCAGTAGGTGCCTATTCTCCACGTAGAAGTGCCCGCAGCCTGGGAGAGGCAGCACCGCCGCATTGGTCTCTCCAGAGTCGATATTCGGCCGTCAGGATCCCGTACCCGTCGTCCAGGACAGATAACAAACCCGCAGTGGCAAAGGGGTGTGACAGGTCAAACTCCCCAAGGAGAGGAAAGACGTGCGTATGCCCCATGGTGGTCAGCCAGTGGGGACTTAACAGCAAGAACAATCGAGGCAAGACCAGCCCAGGGCACTCCATGGTGGTCAGCCAGTGGAGCAGCCCCGAGCGAAAGGTCCCCCGCTCACCCTGGCTTGCAGCTGCGCCCACCTGGAAAGATGTCCGCGCGCAAGCATGTCTCAGGCCACACACGCAAGCCCGAAAGCTCGCCGGGGTCTCGGAGACTGCACTTCGGTAAGCAGTGGTCCCTCCAGAGCCAAAGCCAATAAGAATAAGGTACGTCGGCAAGGAGATGTGAGGGCTCACATCACTTTTGGCAGCCTGCAAGAGCCCAAGATCTCCATGGTATAGGTGGCGCCGTCAGGTAGCATCCAGGCGAGCGGAGAGCCAGCCTGCCCTGCCACAGGCCAAGCATAGGCGATGATGGCCCTTTTGAAGGCCAGGTTACTCCAGTGGGTGTATATTCTTCAGACATAAGTGCCCGCAACCTGGGAGAAGCAGCACCACTGCATTGGCCTCTCCAGAGTCGTCCTTCGGCCGAGATACTAGAAAGGGGAGGATCGCATTGCCATGACTCACTATGAGTCAAGCGTTGTCTCGTCCCGTGATGAGCGTGGGGCAACCAGTGTGGGCGGCTGCTGGGTCTCAAAGCCGAGGGGTTTTTGCAGTGCCATAGCACAGAAAGGGCAACCTATCCGGTCAAAGAGGGGCGGAGGAGAGGAAGACTGGGCAGTCTTACCTTGGACATAACCCGATGAACAATCAAGGCAAGACCAGCCCAGAGTACTCCATGGGGGCCAGCCAGTGGTACAGCCCCGGGCGAGAGGCACTCACTCCACTAGGCTCACCGCATCGCCCACCCAGAAGGGTGTTCCCGTCCCGACAAGTTACTTCAACCAGCCAGAAGGGAGGTCAATGCGCGTCAGCAACGACCGGTTCTACTGGGGGAAACGCCAGTCCTTGCACAGAGCGGAGCAGTGGACCTCAGGGTTCGCCAATGTTGCACGAATCCTTACTTCCACAAGGCAAGAGGAAACGGCAGGGTCAACTACACGGGCCGAGGGCTCAGGCACCTTGAAGTTGTGCACCTCACCACAGTCGCCGAGGCAGGTTGGGGTGCCATGGAAACTTCCTGTTACAAGCGTCCGTGCGCCCCACGGTGGTCAACCACTGGGGACTTACAAGTGAGCACTGCAGACCAGCCCAGGGTTCCCCGTGGTGGCCAGCCAGTGGGGCAGCCGCGAGCCGCAGCCAAG